ATATATATATATATATATATATATATATATATATATATGGAGGGGGAATGCTGGCACGGAAGTATATCTAAGATGTATGTATGAGAGAGAAAGCTATACGTTCCTATTTGTCCTCTGTGCGCGTGCATTGAAGTTGACAGATTAGGCTAGGTTATAGAGTTGACAGGAGATAATAGTTATTTATTTTTTTCTCATACAGCTCTGAGAATTTTTTTAGAATTTTGTATTAACTTTCTAGTACTTCAAAAATGAAAAAAAACGCAAAAAATGCAGTAAATGCAGTACTAAAAAATTAATATAAAGTTCTGAAAAAATTCTTCGAACTCTATAAGAAGAAAATAAACAATTTTTATTTCTTGCTATTTTTTGGTAAAGTTGATAGAATTCAAGTAAAAAATATTGAAACCAATAATTTTATAGTCCAGCAACAACCGACGCATGTTGGCGCATGCGCACAGAGGAAGAATAGGAATGTATACCTTTCTTTCTCGCAAAGATCTTAGATATCCTTTTGATCTACAGGAGGCATACGCAATTCTCCCTCCATATATATATGCTCTAAGAATCAGATTCACGAATTTTACAATAGTTGCAAAGCAGCTTTATCTACTGAACGCAGCTTATGTCCTTGTTTGCAACTATTATAAAATTTGTGAATCTGATTGGTATATGCTCTTGGATTTAACCAAAATTAAGAGCATACTCCAATCAGATTCACGAATTTTACAACAGTTGCAAAGTAGCTTTCTCTGCTGAACGCAGCCATTGGAATTGGTAGCGTGCTTTTCGAACACACTCTCAGGAGATTGACGGGACGTCTCGAGTTTGTTGTGTCTCGCGTGAAATCGCGTGCTCTTTATCGTGATCTTGCACTTTATTCACATTTTTCTTCGAAAGTCAAGTATAGCCAGAATGCCGAAGAGAAAGAATCAAGCCCTCATAGACTCCGATAGTAGCGGCAGCGCATCGGAAAGCGGCTCGGACTTGGAAAATGTAAATATTCTAACCTTCTGTATGAAAGAAACGTATGCCGTTCACTCTTACGCCCGTTCTGTAATTTTCGAAGTATTTTCCGTTCGGCTTCTTCTTATTGCATGGAAAATTGTGAATTCACTCGCTGCCGCGACTTTTTCCTCGAGTACCGGCTGATTTTGTCGGGAGTAACTTGGCATAACCTAATGCTAATATTCAATAAATGAATACGTCTCCAACAAAAACTAATATGCAAACTTGTGACGTAATACGCTGTAACTTTACGCCGATGTAAAGTGCAATATATAATTGCATTTTGTGAGTATATGATATAATTTTGTTAAGAATAATAAATGGGCCTGGGCAGTTATAGTTTTTTTTTTATAATAGATGTTCTTTTTTGAAAAAAACTTCCTGAAGTGGTGCACATTGGTGCAATACATTAGAGTAAAGCAAAATATATTTAAGTTTGTTTTCTATTGCTGAACTGGCTGCATTAACTTATATTAGTTTTTTTTCTCTTCTTTGTTCCTCTAAGTCTCAATTATATATCTGTTTCTTTTTAAGTTCCATAAACATGATTTAATGATAAAAACATTTTTTGTTTTATTCTAGTTTATTACACCAATGTATCCTAAATCAGAAAGTTCTTTGAGAAAGAACAAGTTTTTATCGTGAATAATATGCATATAATTATATGTTTTTTCATAACTTAACTAGGATCTATTGTCATTGGCAAAGAAAAAGAAAGGAAAATCTCAAGATGATTCTCAGTCGAATGAAGATAACAATTCTGTTAAGAAGGATGCTAAACAAGATTCAGATACATCAGATTCTGATGACAATTGGAGTAACAAGGCTGGGAAGACAAAGAAAAAGAAACCACCAGCAAAGAGAAGCAAACGAAAAATGACAAAATCTAGTTCAGAAGATAGCGCCAGTGAAAAAGAACCAGCTAAGCAGCTTTCAGAACCAGAAGAAGGTATTTGGCATCTGTATCGCTTTGCTTTATAAATATGCTCTTATGTTAAATGTATAAAATTTTTTTACAAGCACATTGCTATTATAATGATAAACAATAATATAATTATTTCATTGCAATAGGTGAGGTATCAGATTCTGACGCAAGTGTTTCTGACTCTAGCCAGGAAGAGTTTAATGATGGTTATGATGATAAACTCATGGGAGATGCGGAAGATCAAGCTAGGCTAGCCCAAATGACAGAGAAAGAGCGTGAACAGGAGATTTTCAAACGAATTGAGCAACGAGAAATTATGAAGACAAGATTTGAGATCGAAAAGAAATTAAGGATGGCTAAGAAACAAGAATTAAAAAAGCAAAAGGAATCAAAAAAGAAGGAGAAAGGAATTGAGGAGAAAAAAGTAGATAGAGCACCAGATCCTAAAGAAAGGAGTAAAGATCGTAAAAAGACGATAGAAGAGAAGCAAGATAAAAAGTTTCATGCAATGTCTTTGCTTAAAGCTCGACGCGAGGAAAAGAAGGAACGAGGTTAGTTATTTAAAATTGACCTTTTAGAAGTATTTTTAATTTTCCATTTTTTCTCCATTTTTCCAATTAGAGGAAAAAGAGAAACAAAGAATAGAGCAACAGCAACAACAATCAAAGGACATTGAGGAAGAAGAATTGGAGGATGATCATAAAGGCGGAAATAAGACAAAACTCAAAGCATCCGATATATATTCCGACGATAGCGGTTCGTCGGATAGTGCCGAAGAGGAGGAAGTAGCTAAACCAACATCACAACGCAGATCCTCTTCGAGCGAGAGTCGTGATTCGGATTCTGACAACGATAAAAAGTTAGTTGTTTTTCTATTCTTATGTAATTAGTATTTTGATTGTGTGATCAGTTATACTCATAACATAGGGAATTCGGTAGCTTACACTAGTGCGCGCTAAGACTTGTTTACAGTACATTCTTATATTTAAGATCGTGACTTAAATACATATTTAAAAACATTTTAGCTAATAAAATGATTCGTATGGATGTTATACATATCATATTACTAATTACAAATATTTGAAAATTTATTTAAGACAATCTTTAAATATAATAACATTTATCTTATATTTAAGATCATGACTTAAATACATATTTAAAAACATTTTAGCTAATAAAATGATTTGTATGGATGTTATACATATCATATTACTAGTTAAAAATATTTGAGAATTTATTTAAGACAATCTTTAAATATAATAACATACTATGAACAAGCTTTAGTGCGCACTCAATGTGCACTAGTGCAAGTAACCGAATTCGCTAATAATCATATTTATTTTAGGTCAGTTACGAGTAATAAAGCCAAGCCGAAAAAACCAGTATATATTAATACTAAAGAAGATCTAAACAAGATCCGGTTGTCCCGTCATAAGATGGAAAAATTTGTTCACTTACCGTTTTTCAATAGAGTGGTGCAAGGTTGCTTCGTCAGGATCGGTATCGGCAACAATAATGGTAAACCTGTCTACAGAGTAGCAGAGATAAGTGGCGTGTGCGAAACAGGGAAGATTTATCAGCTTGGTAGCACGAGGACAAACAAAGGATTGAAATTACGTCATGGGGCGCAAGAACGCGTCTTTAGACTGGAATTTGTCTCAAATCAAGAATTTACGGATTCGGAATTTTTTAAGTGGAAAGAATCATGTGCATTGCAAGGAATATCTATGCCCACGTTCGACGAAGTGGAACAGAAACTGAAGGATATTAAGGAGGCATTAGTGTACGAATTCAAGGAAGAGGACATAGAAAAGATAGTCCGTGAAAAAGAGAGATTCAAACAAACTCCCTACAACTATGCGATGAAGAAAGCGCAACTCATGAGAGAACGTGACGCAGCTAATTGTAGAGGGGACGATGAGACTGCTAGTCGGCTTAATCAAGAGCTGAGCGAGTTAGAAGAACGCGCATCGGAATTAGACAAGATGCGCACGGCATCAATCTCCAGTATTTCATACATTAACGATCGTAATAGAAAACGGAATGTGGAGGAGGCTGAAAAAGCCATTATGGTAATTATGAGTTAATTGATTAACCCCTTGACTGTGTGACGAAATTAAAATTTTCGTGCCACCAGTTGTTTCGTGTGAAACAAAGTTTCTTTTTACATTTCTGCTACGATTTTAATATTTATAAGATCGCTGAATTCGAGTATGATATCAGAATTTTAAAATTCAAAATGGCGGGTCAAAATATAAAAGTTGAATTATTTTTCCAATTTTGGATCCGCCATATTGGATCTCCCATTTCGAATTTTGAGATTTAGATATCATATTTGTATTCAGCGATTTCGAAAACTTTAGTATAATTATTTTTATAAAAATTTATTTTTTGCAATTTTTGATCCGTTATATTGAATCTATCATTTTGAATTTTGAGATTCTGATATTATATTCAGATTCAGAGAATCTGAAAATTGTAAAATAATAAGCTTCATACAAATCGCAAAAGAATAAATCGGTTTTTTTAAGATGTGTATATATATGTATATTACACACTGGTTGCACGTGATTTTTCTGTAAACACATGATACAGACTCAAGGAGTTAATACTCATTGTCCTTGTCGCGAAATAACATATTTCGATTGATTAATTGAAATTATTACAACAGGAAGAGTTAAAGGCTACCAAAGGTAAGAAGATTGACGACCCGTTTACTAGACGAAGCACTAAACCGAGGATGGTGTATAAACCAGAGGATGAAGAGACAGTAACTATTCCATTAAACGATAAGTCGGGTCCTCATCCAGCAGGAGACTCTGTGTCAACTGTCAATGATAAGGAAAACGAACAGGATTCTAAGAAGAAGCAAAGTACGGAAGATCTCTTCAATGCGCACGATTTTGACATAACAATAGATTTGGAAGTTCCTATTCCAAGTAAGTACAGTCAAATATTAAAATTATGAATTTTTTGCTTAATGATTAATGGGCCAAAGAATGTGACAAACACATTACATTGTGTGTGTGTGTGTGTGTGTGTGTGTGTGTGCGTGTGCGTGCGTGCGTGTGTGTGTGTGTGTGTGTGTGTGTGTGTGTGTGTGTGTAATATAATTATAGTAAAAAAGGGATTATATATATAAATTTTTTTCTAGACAATCCTGTTAGTGTCCTACCAAAACCTGTTAATAACATCAAGGATACAGGACCTCGACGATCGCTAAATTTAGAAGATTACAAAAAGAAACGTGGTCTTATCTAACATTTCATATGCTTTAGATATTGGGAGAAGATATGATAAGGTTAAATTTGCCAAGGTTGTCCCGTAGCAATTAAAAATATCATTTTGTTCGCTGAATCTTTCGGTTAACGACAAGGACGAAGATATGTTCTTGTAACGATTGACTGAGAAACTAGATTATTTATAACACATTTGTAGTTATATTATTATTAATTACGACTCTATCTGTGCGTATTTAATACGTTGAGTGTATTGGTGGCTAATCGGTGAGGGGTAATCGATATGTGCTAGCTTTGCGGGTAAAGAATTAGCTGATATGTATTGTGGTTGCATAATAAATAAAGGATTGTTAATGAAACCAATTAATACCTAATAATTGTAAGAATATCTCAATTTGGTATCAGCTAATGTTTTTATGTTCTTACGTATAAGATATAAGTATATATACATATATGTGTATATATATGTGTGTGTATATATATGTGTATGTGTATGTATGTGTATATATATATATATATATATATATATATATATATATATATATATATATATATATATATATATACACATATATATATATATACACACACACATATATACACATATATACAGACATATCCGCTGTTATATATATAGCATTCGTTCATTGTAACACTCAACGTATTAAACAGCATGATGGTTCCGATTGAGGTAAAGCTGTTCCTATTGGTATCGGAATAACGGAATTATATGATTGTTAGACAGAATATATAGCGTGTCTGATACGGGACAACTCAATGCAGGTGGATCACATTAATTTGAGCAAAAACATATCTTGCCGTTTTTCAAACAACGTAAAATTTCGACTAATTAATGAAAGAAGATTGGCGAATCTTATCAAAAGTAGCTGAAAATTGCGACTATTTTTTAGCGACATGCGTACAATACACTCGCGATATATCAAAAATCAATTATCTACGTGCCGCTTGCATCAATATTCCGTCTTTAGATGTTGACCGATGTCCGCCGTCGCTTAAGCCCGATTCCACCAACATCGATCAAACCTTAAACTGCGTTTAAACCGCGTTTAACTATTTGAAACTATTTGAAACAAAGATTTAAACTCAGATCAAGGTCCAATCGATGTTAGTGGAATCGGGCCTTAGAGATAGTAATTTTTCAATCGTTTTCGTTTCGTGTCTATAGAAATTCTCTCACAATATCGCACGGATTGATTGGCCAATCTTGTTTCATTAATTATACTTGAAATTTTATGCGGTTGCTTGAAAAATAGTAAGGTATTTTTTACTCAGGTTAATGTGGTTTACTTGCACATATGCATTGGGATGTCTCGTGTCAGACACTTTGTATAAATAAATGACAAAGGATGGTCAAGACTATACTAAAACGGTACTTAAAAATATGACTTGTATTACCGTTATTGGATATCGAAACAGATATGATATTCTATTTTCCATTATTCAATACTGTAACATGACTATATATGTCATACTCGAATGACAAAAAAGAGATATACAGAGAAAGACATGCTTGCATCTCTAATGATGAGGATTATTTGCCAAACGATTAAATTTAGGAATAACAATATCATTTCTGTGCAAATTAATTACAATTATAACACAAGATGTCTTTTTATGTTAACAAATAATAAGACATAAAAAAGGGGAACTTGTGTTAAAAAACCGTTTGTTTTTACATTTAAAAAATAGAATATGAAAACGCATATATAAGACGTAGATAATAATGTTATATACAGCTAGTTTTACATTTATATCTCTTAATTGCACATATTTTATATGTGATACTGCTCATAAATTTTGTTGATGTACAGTATATTGCCATTTTTGTCATTGCCAACATTTGTCATAATTTACTGCCAATATAATTTCAGATTTTTCTTTTATGATTTAAAATTAATTGTATATTATTATTTGAATGTGTGTTCACTATAATTTTATGATATACTTTCATTGTTTGAGATTTTATGTATTAATACGACAATAGAACACGAGATGTTTTAACAATATTAATAATTTTATGAAAGAATTATATATATATATATATATATATATATATATATATATATAAAT